CTTTTCTACAGCACTCTATTTCTGTACTTGTCATATATCACTAACCACTGTTTTTCTCCCTTACGAAAATCTTTGTAGTCTCATGGTGCCCTTAATTTAAATACTCTCTATGAACTTAGTCACTGCTTCCTCTTGTTTTTTTAGCTTGTTCTGTTTTATTTATTCTGGAGCAATACTGGCAGTAAAAGACAACCAAATATGCTTGCTTTCTCAGTTTGGATAAAAACTCATTGCTTTTAGATATCTTACAGATGCTCCCTTAGCTGGAGAAGTCTGAAAGTATTAGTAAATTATCAGCAGAACACTGCTTTTAAGTATGTGCAGTATTAACCATTACCCACAAGAAAGACAGAAAGGAGACAGAGAAAGGCTGTTGGGAAGACTGAGGAATGCCAAGCTGTTTTACCAGGGAGAGTAAGGGAGCATGGTTTATTTCACCTAAAAAAACGAGAGCCCTAGCTCCATGATCCTTTTCGTTCAGCACAAACGCATGCTGCTAACAACCAGAACAGTCCAGCACCTCCATCCCATGACATCCTGATCGTTCTTCCCATCCCTTTCCTTGCATCAGTTTTAGTACTCCTGGGGCTACAAGGTGAACCTGATCTGTTTGAAAAGGAACCACAGTTTTGCAGGGTGAGTTTCCAGCCAGAACAGTTCATCAGGTCAGGTCAACTTAGGCAGGAGTAAAGAACGGAACAAACAAAGGTGTTTCCATTCAGCTCTTTCTTGGCCTTTCTTAAATATGGAGTATTGTGGGCTTATGTCTATTTAAACAAAAAACAGATTTGGAAGCTATTTTAATGAACAGTGACTTTTATCTCCGTTCCTCAAGAGCCTGTCTTTGCTTTGCTTTTAACAGCAATAGTGTGAAACATCTGTAATTAGAAAAGGGGTCTTGCAGTTCACAGTATGGCTACCTGCCTGTGGGCTAGGATCGCCACGCAGGGTGGTGGCACACAGACTGCTCTGTTACACTGACTGTGATGAAGTGCTAAGAAAGGATGTATCTGAAAACAGCAGTAGCTTGAGGTCTCCTCTTGTAGTGGGTGGAAGCAGTGGAAGGAGGTGGGGAGATCTGAGTGCTCTAAAGCATTGAGTGATCTGAGGCTCATTGCGATCTTTTCTCTCTTTCCTCTCCTCCTGTTTGTCTGCCTCATCTTTTTAGACTATAAATTTCTGATGTGTTTTCTGCAATGCCTAGTATAACAGAGCTCTAGTCTCAGTCTTCAGGCACTTTCTGGTACCCACAGCAGCAGCAGTAACATTGTTACATGTTGTCCTTTTTGACAGTAGTGGGTGTGCTAAAGAAGATGCAGGGACAGGCAACTAAAGTGAAGAGGATTATAAGAATAAAAGAGGCTCCAGTGAGGAGAGGGGGAGGCTGAGGGTGAATTTGATCAAAGTTTACAAAACCATGAAGGCCGCAGATAAAGTAAATGCAGAACTGTTGTTCACTAAATCTCTCAACAGCAGAACTATGGCCCACTCACTGAAACTGGTAGAACATCAGATAAAAGCACAGATGAAAGAAAATTCTTCTTTGTGTAGTGGCTACACAACTTCTCAGACTCATACCACAGGAGGCTGTGGAGACAGACAGCATCAGCAGGCTCAAAAGGGGATTAGAGAAATCCATGAAAAGGTCCACGAGCATATACTGAAGGAAACAGGAAGGATGAATCCTCTCATACTGCTGTACAACACTTAGGGATGATACTAGGGGAAAGGACTGCAGAAAGTGGCCAAGCTTGCATTTTCTCCTTAAATAGCAGCCTTTACTGCCTGCCGTTCTTGGAGAAGGATCAGTAGACGCGCCAGTGGTCTGGGAATATCTGAAGTTCCTTCAAAAATATTGAAACTTCTTCTAACTAGCAGTGTGTTTTACGTATTCCACAAGTTCTACTGCTGATTGAAAACAAGGTAATAATTAGATTAAACTCCCACTAAAGGAAGGAATATTTTCTCCTGTTCTGTTTTCTTTTTGTACTTAGACTAAGCGTGAAATACTCACTACTAAGCAAGTAAACCACATTAGGAGGTACCTAAAGCTTCCGTAGTTAATTTGTGACATCCTTGGTTTGTCTCACATGCAGTATAGATTGCTTTGAGAAGGCCTCTTTCCTCCTATGTCACAGTCATTTTTCATTGTGGTGTATTAAGGGATTGTTACCCTTAGGTGCATTAAGCAGGTGCTAACAATTAACCCTCACACAGAGACAATTCCGGATGCTTTCGTGGCTCCAGAGCAAACCTTCAGTAGCTCCAACACATCAGCACAACAGACATGCTAAGTTGTCCTGGTTTCACTGGAGTGTTGTTGGGTTTCGCTGATCGTTTTCTCCAGTTTATCAGATTAAGCAAGGTTACAGGGATGCACTGTATACACTGAAACAACAATGTATTCACTGTATGTTGTTCTGTTAACCATCCATTCTTGGAAATCACACTTTTCCATTTATACTTCTCTCACATTTAATTTCTCTCTCTCTTTCCTCTGGTTAAATTTCTGTCAGCTGGCATGCAGATAGTTAAAATATTTTTATGAGATCTGTAGTTTCTTATATCATATGTTTAATTTACAAACTGAATACATTACTCAGACAACGAAGAATACAACAAAAAATTAAAATAAAGTTATTGCTATGAGGCTTTTTGTTGAGCTGGATTATCTGCATGAATTAACCTTCTACCATTCCCTTACCATCTGTATTTAGAATAGATGTGGCATAATCTTCAACACTAGGTAGATAATCAGTACAGTTAGTCTGACACATCTTCCGTTAAATGGTCATTTGTGCCTCTGATATCGTAAGTTCTTTACGCTTTTTTTGGGAGATTTAACTCTTCACATCTTAGTAGCTTATTGCTGGGTCAAGCAACATAGTAAGGATTGAATAGATAAACATACAATATTTAGAAGTCTGCCTCAGTCAAATAATTAATTTGTTTCAGCGTATTATTCCCAATGCTATTAGTTTTCTGTTAGTAATTTCGCAAGTTGATTTTTGTTTGTGAGAACTCATGTCAAAATACATGCAGTAGCAAAACCTTATGAAAAAGAAGAAACATGCCATGAGAAATTATTCATGATTTTTAAAATTCAAGCACATGGTGATTTCTACACTTGTAGAGAGTTCTTTTCAAGAAAACAAATTTCAAATTCTGATGGCTTCAGATGATTTTTCTTCAAATCGATTATCTAATGTAGTTTGTCAATGTTTGCATTGCACCAGTTAAATCCTTTATTCAATATAATATGGGCAATACTTTAGATGATATCTCTTAACAATGAAAAAGAGTTTTATGATTGACTGAAGTAGCAGACTTTTTAACAAACATGTATTTCTGTGTGTAGGTGTATGTGTACATACCTGTACACATTACATGATGAGGACAAGTGATGCACCAGTTAAATACTATTAAGCACTCTCTGTATTTGAGCATCGCATATCGTAACTGCAGTGTATATACAGGCATTTCACACTCTGTGAACAATTCCGCAGGCCATTGCCAACCGAGAGGTGTCAGACAGTTCACTTACCTACATAAATGTCAAGTTGAAACATAGCTAATCCAAAATGAGGGTAAGTGACTTTGGTTTTGAGAGGAGTCTGTTAGGAATTCACCATTCAGTTCTATTGCAACAGAGTATTTTTAATTGAATAGTGGTCATTTAAACTATAAAATTTAAAATTATGTTCTAATATTCATGTCATCTGCCCTTTAAAAATTCCTGGCTATTTGATACCAGAAGCTGGAACAGGTCAATTTAGGCAGAAGTAAAGAATGGAACAAACAAAGGTGTTTCCATTCAGCTCTTTCTTGGCCTTTCTTAAATATGGAGTATTGTGGGCTTATGTCTATTTAAACAAAAAACAGATTTGGAAGCTATTTCAATGAACAGAGTGACTTTTATCTCCGTTCCTCAAGAGCCTGTCTCTGCTTTGCTTTTAACAGCAATAGTGTGAAACATCTGTAATTAGAAATAAAAATCTTTTGAAGATACTTTCAACATTCAGGCTCAGCATTGCTACCAATCACAACATATTGCCTATTACAGAGGAACTGTAAACATAAGCAAAGTAATCGTTTACAGTTCATACACAGTGTAAGTCAGAATAAACTCTTTTAAAATTGATGTACTGTTGCTCTCATTTGTTTTTAAGGAGGAACTATATCTTTGTTGTTGTAATTCCCTTTTTTCGCTACTGCTGGACACCCTCCAAAATGGCATCAGCATTAATATTTTCTATGTAAAAAGTCTAATATTAATATGATATCTGTTAGTCAAAAGACAGCAAATATTGTTACTGTAAAAATGTAATGAGCAGAAGCTTGGGATCAGAGGAAAGAGGATGGCTAGCTGCTACTCCTAACGCTAACCACAGGGATATGTGAAAGAGAATGTCGGTTGTATCAGCTTAGTAAGAACTCCCCTAACTTACTGTCACATAGAGATGGGCAACAAGTGTCTATTCAGGTTGCCATTTGAAACTGATAATGGCTTTTTTGTCACCATAAAAGGAAGATAATGTAGCTTTGAAAGATGGAATTTGGCTAAACCTGTCATGTCAAGTTTTTCTCAAGTTGAATTAGAATCTTCCTGTGAATCCAGGGATCATCCCAAGTTCATGTGAAAGACTATGATACAATTGGTTTCATCTTCAAAGCAGAACGGAATCCCGTAAAGAGTACCAGTCCTACGTGCTACAATTCATTGGATCTAGAGGTTGTCTGATCAGAGAACACTAAGTACTGCATATTGGAATATAGAATAATCAGAATGGCTGGAGGCCACATTTGACTAGCCTGGCATATTTTTGATTTATCCAATTTATCACGCAGGGGCTCTTGCAAATACCAAGCTGTGTTTGAGCTAATAGAAAGTATCACTCCATTTCTTTGGAGGTATAGACATAATTATGCTTTGATTCTTTCCATCTGAAAGGTTCTTCTCTGGCCAATGGAAGCTTGAATCTACACAGCACTGTGAAAAGGAAACTAGATGGGGAGAAAGATTATGTCTTCGATAAGAGACTAAGATACAGCGTGCGTCAAAACGAAAGTAACTGCCGGTTCAGGGACATTGTAGTCCGGAAAGAAGATGGTTTCACACATATTTTGCTGTCGAGTCAGACTTCAGATAACAATGCACTGACCCCAGAGGTAAGCATATAGCTATAAAAGCTGAAGAAAGCCATCCTAATGTGTGGGTTATCTTGGAAACTCTGGACTTGAACTGGGTTTTATGTATTTTTTTTCTAATTGATTACCTCAGAAAAGAAATATGGAGTTCAGATAAATCTTAAACTGTTTCACACTTAGAATTCCTGACAGAACGAATGCAATGGAAATTGATTTTTAATTTACATGTCTGAAACCAAAAATTAGAAGTAAAGAAAAGAATGGCAGAATCAGTATTTCCAGCATGGAGTTGTGTGAAGCAGTTTTTCACATGTTGAAGTTACTGATACTTACTGTCCTTAGGAGAAATCTGGTCTCTTTCATTTTATAAATTTAAGTAGTGCTCCAGTTGTTGCATACGGAGAATTTTAGGCTATTTCCTGAGACAGTAACTCTAAAAGTATATCTTGGTCCCTAATGACTTTTTCTCTGAATCACTTTATGAGTCCTTATTTATGAAATCTTAACCAATTATGGGCTCTATTCTCAGCTGAATTGCATAAAGTTGTACAACATATAAATGATACTAATGAATTATCCTGTTCCAAACATTAAACACTTAAGGTCAAACTTGGATTTGTAGCTGGTACTTCTCCAGTACATGTGTGGGTCACTGGAAGTATGAGAAGCTTTTTCCTCTACTCCCTGTGATCCCAGCACAGTGGGCGCCGATGCCCTGGTACACCTTCCCCATGTCAGAACAAAAGGGGTGCCAGTAAATGCCCGCGTCAGGATGCCGGTCCTGGAGAGCAGAGCAGCGCTTGAGCCCTGCTCCCCGTGGGCAGTAGTGGCCTGATGGAACGGGGCTGCCGTAGGTTGGAGAGGAACCAACAGCAGCCACCTCCCAGCACCAGTTTTGCCCGTGCAAGCATTCTGCAGGCAGAGTTCCTCCGGGAGCTGCCCACAGTGTGGCAGATCTCTCCCTTTTCTGCCCTCCAGAAGAGCCAGTGCAGCTCTGTCTTCTACAGTAACTTACTCAAGATAAGAGTGTATGAAATACCAGTTTGAGCACCATCTGAGAGAAAAGTAGATTGTAGCTTTGAGGAATTATTTTATTCAATAAGAAACTGAATAACTTTGAAATTACTTACTTATAATGAGCTTCAGATAAAACCACTGGCAGGCATGAAGGGCCCTAAATTTGACTCCCTTTCCCAAATGCACACCTACACATGGACGTTAATACACAGAATGATACTAAATAGTTAAAACTGTTAGCACATACATTTATCACTCCTGGTTTTTAAACTTGGTAATTAACACAGAACACCAAATACCTGCTTTTAATACTAACTCCTTAAAACACATTAGGTTACATCAAATCCATCATTCCATCTGTGTATTAATTACCAGTAATTGGCACTGCAGATAATTTAAACTAAGAGCTCAAGGGCCTGAAAAAGTATGAATTCAAGGACTTGCTGTGTTCAGGCTGAGCAGACCTACCTTTACGTTGCTGGCTGTGCTGTTCCACATCAGCAGTGTTCTAATGCTCTAACCAGTGAGTTAATTCAGGTTCTTCAGGTCTGCCAAACCAATCCGTTCCATTCTTTGAAGCTTTTCAGTATGCCAAGAACCCGCCTCTGTGGAAGAATAAATGATAAGCAGATAGTAGTCCTCTTCTTGCATCACCAGCATAGACTATTTCTAGAACCTTTACTGAAGCTCACTCGAAAACCAGGAAATACATTTTAGAAAACTATATTACTGACCAGGAATTAATCAAGGTGATGAGTTCTCTACATTGAGATTGTCTGTTCAAAACTTATCCAGGCTGAGAGCAATTGAAAGCTCTTGCCCTCTGAAGGCTGCTTGCTGGCAAACCTGAAATGACTTCTTTGGCCTCGGCCCAGACTGCAGCCCATGATCATTCACACCACAAAATCCAGCACCTCCAACATTGGCAATTCCACATCCTTGCTGGCAATTACAGCAAAAATCCAAGCAACTGAAAGGAGGAATATGTTGAATACCTTGTCCCTGCAGTTTTTCGTCCATAGCCATAGGTGAGACAAACTGACAGAGTATTTTAGGAACATTTACAACATTTTCGGTTTTGACGCCATTTATTACTGGTGAAGAGAAAGTACAAACACAAAATTCCTACCAAATGAAGGAAGTGTGTTTTATTTTGTCTAAAGAAACACTAACTCCAGGCTTTATTAGGCGTTCAGTAAATGATGTTTGCCAAATAGTAAATGATAATTTACTTAAAGCGGGTCTACTTGGTGTGGTTAAAATAGTGGTCTGGGTATTCTCGGCCAACTACGTTAGGAAAAAAAGAAAAGGTGTGCACTGCCCACAATCATTATAAAATTAAGCTTGTACAAAATCACTCTCACCCTTCAACAACCCTGTTTCCCTTTGTGCTGTATCTTAATCTTCAGATGCAATGTAATAGTTTTGTTCGACCATCGGCCTCTGCTATTTGTGCCAATCTAATTAAAATAACAGAGATTTTATTTGTACCAAACAAAAAAAAAAAAAAAAAAAAAAATCTATCAGCTTAGAGAAATCTAGATTCTTGGAGAATCTTTGTTGTATGGTTTTGGTAACCACATCACACCTGTGGGTTTGTGCAGGTGACTTGAGCATGAAATGTGCTGATGCCCCTTCCAGCAGCATTTGCGTTGATTGAAGTTGGCTCAGTGCCACTCCAGTAATTGAGTTTTTTCTACAAAAATGTTCAGGGCGCTGTGGAAATTCTTTCTTATGTTTTACAAGACCTTACAAAACTTCCAAGCCAGTGTCATGAAACAGCACAGCTTGTTTTTATTTCAGTGGCTTAGGCTTGCTACTTTTAAAATTCCTTTTTAAAACAGATATGTAAAATATTTCATCATTATAAATTCCATTAGGGCATTTTCTTTCATGGGTCTTTTGCTGCATCTGAAGTTCTTTCTCCAACGATGATGTTGCTGATTTATCTCAGCCCATTTCAAGGATCCAAATTCTGTTTCAAACTTAAGATTAAATAGGTCCATCCACTGTTTTTACTTTACACTATTAATAGAGCTAAGAATTAATACTCCACTGAATTAAAAGCCAAATGTACCCTAAACAGCTAACATTTCCATTGAAGAGTGATACAGCTACCTCAAGTACATTTCTCGTACAAAAGAATCAGGTTTCAAATGTCTAGCCATGAGAATTACAGGGTTTGAAGTGCTCCCAGGTGCATTTTGGAGCATTGGTTGGCCTTCACTTTTCCTAACTTATGACTTTTCCTAACTTAAAAAAAAAAAGAAAAAAAGAGGCCAGTACAAGTTTACTGTTATCTGTATTTTTGCTCTCATACAAAGACAAATTGTGCGTTTTGCCCAGTACTTCTGCCTGAAGCCAGCCTTATAGGTTCCTAAGTCCTTTACTTGTCAAACAGAAAGGACTCGGAAGCTGTTTGCGCAGTCAGTAAGTAACAAACAGTGTATTCATGTAAAAAAGTAAAAATGTAGAAGAGGTTCTAAGAACAACCAAATGGCTTTAAAATTCTATATTACTGTAATATTTACAGATTATTTACCTTTCAGAATATCAACAGTGAATCCTTACCGATTCAGAGAAGTTAACCTTTTAAACTAGTATTTCTAGTTATATAAACAAGAGACTTCTGTTCAAAATACTTTGTGTAATTACAGTGATAGTTTCCCAGCTCTCTGAATTCCCCAAAATGGAAGCAATATTGAAAGAAAAGGGCACCAAATGCCTTTTTAAATTTCCTACATCCAGTGAAAGGCACTAAAATAAGCTCTTAGAAATTTAATGAATTTTTTAAACATTTTATGATTGCAATATAAGGTGTCCTGTTAAAGAACTAACCAGATTATTTTCTTGACAGGATTAAAAAAATAAGCAGCTTCTGAGAAAGTGATAATTTTATTATATATTTGGGTTTCAGTAAAACAGTAAGTGAAGCATTAGGCCCGGTCTGAATTTATAATTCGATAGATTATCAGAAGCTAAATAACTGGCCCATACTGTTTTGTAAATATTTCCTCAGAAATTTTAGTCAAATGCATTTGAATAGAAATACTGTCCCCACAACTGAAAGTGAACTGAAAGAACATAAAAAAGCTAATTAAAAAAAAAGAATGGAATTGGAGAATAGTGCTATGGAGCCCTGCAAGTAGCAATATTTGATCTGGTCACTAGAGAAAGTAAAATTTACTTGGACAGATGCCATAGTTAGACCAAAATGAGGGAAGGTTTAAGGACTATGGAAGAGAGAAAAAAATGGAATCTGACAAAGAAATGTAACTAAAGACACATAGTATCTCTATATTTACAAACTGAATTCACTACAGCATTAAATGGAAATTTGTGCTTAAAAACAGACAGCAGTTCTGAACTAAAATTGTATTTACTTTACAGTACTGCAGTTTAATACACAGTCCTGCAACCCTACAGACAAACCATCTTTTTTATCTTTATTTTATTGTTAGTAGCTTTCCTCTAATCATATAAACATCTGTAGATAAATAGCCATACCCAGACAATGAATGAGGAAAGCCATGGTGCCCGGTGTTCAGAAGCAACAGTGGACAGTATGTAGGTAGGCTATAACTAGGCTGAGTGACAAGGTGACCGGGTGAACTTTGGACTGCACCAGCAAAGGAATCATGGCATAGAAGAAGGGAGTGAGAATTGACTTTGCTGGCAGTGGTGTATTCCAATGAGCCTCTGAGCACCTTTTGATGATAAAGCTAATGACCAACTTACAGATATTTAAAAATATAATGCTTTTTTGAGACTGAAAACACTCATAGGCCTTTGATACTGTTCTCCACGGCATCCTCCTGGAGACACTAGCTGCCCATGGTTTGGATGGGTGTACTCTTTGCTGGATAAAGAACTGGTTTGGATGGGTGTACTCTTTGCTGGATAAAGAACTGGCTGAATGGCCAAGTGCAAGGAGTGGTGGTGAATGGAGTTCAATACAGCTGGCGGCTGGTCACGGATGGTGTCCTCCAGGGCTCAATTTGGGGTCCGGTCTTGTTTAACATCTTTATCAATGATCTGGATGAGGGGATTGAGTGCTCCCTTAGAAAGTTTGCAGATGACATCAAGTTGGGCAGGAGTGTTGATCTGCTCGAGGGTAGGAAGGCTCTGCAGAGGGATCTGGACAGGCTGGGTCGATGAGCTGAGGCCAACTGTATGAGTTTCAACAAGGCCAAGTGCCAGCTCCTGCACTTCGGTCACAACCACCCCATGCAACGCTACAGGCTTAGGGAAGAGTGGCTGGAAAGCTGCCCGGTGGAAAAGGATATTGGGGTATTGGTTGACAGCCAGCTGAACGTAAGCCAGCAGTGTGTCCAGGTGGCCAAGAAGGCCAACGGCATCCTGGCTTGTATCAGAAATAATGTGGCCAGCAGGAGCAGGGAAGTGATTGTCTTCCTGTACTTGGCACTGGTGAGGGCGCACCTCAAATACTGTGTTTAGTTTTGGGCCCCTCACTACAAGAAAGACATTGAGGTGCTGAAGCGTATTAGGAAAAATGTATTTACTGAAAGAGTGGTCAGGTATTGGAACAGGCTGCCCAGGGAGGTGGTGGAGTCACCATTCCTGGAGGTGTTCAAAAAACGTGTAGATGTGGCACTTCAGGATATGGTTTAGTAGGCATGGTGGTGTTGGGTAGATGCTTGGACTCAATGATCTTAGAGGCCTTTTCCAACATATGATTCTATGATACATTATGGTTTCCTGGTGTCCGGTACAGATTTCTTTTGCTAGAAACAGTGAAGCAGTGGAAATAAATTTCCACTCCTGCTCAAAAATACTCTCCAAAACACTTGTCAAAGCCTTCTCATTTTCCACTATATCTGAGAAATTGACTCATAATAATGGACCTTTAATATCACCCTCTCCAAAACATTTATAAAACAGTGATAGCAGAATATTGTTTTTTTCCTACAAGTAGTATAACCTCTGCTCAGAAGTTCAGTATACTTTTAGATGGCTTTAGCCATCCAAATCAATGAGGGGTAAGAAAAAAAAAAGAGACAGGTTTGTAATGGTAATGATGCATTTGAAGGATAGCAGTGGTAACATCAAAGAGGTGGTACACATGCAAATATCACTGGAGGAAGGGGACTGGTAAAGAAACTTGCTGAGTGGAGTATCCTGTTGTGGCATCATACGTAAAGCAACACTCCTCATTGTATAGAAAAATGTGTGACTAATATTCTGATATTATTTATACATCCTCCTGAAGAAAAAGCAGATTTTGAGAACATTTAAAATAAACTAAGAGGACAGTCTTGCATTCACATGGAACTAGGAAAATCAAAATATGTATCTTTTATTATTCTAACACCTACCACCTTCTGAAGTTTTTTTTTTAACTTTGAACCAAGGTTTTAGGGCATTTTTTTCCTTTGTTTCCCCTTTCCAAAAAGTGCAGTATTGCTGTGTTTTTACAGTTTTTCTACAACAGTAAACTGAGATAGCCTCTGAGATTCTGAGAAGAAACAGTACTTGTAAAATAGCTGATGACATTTTTGTACCTGCACAAGAATTTCAAATACACTTCCAAATTCTGCTGCTTTTAATTACTTCACTTCCACCCACTGTCACATACTCGGTATTACAGGCGTTCTGAAGTGCACTTGTAAAAGTGAAGCATCTAGAAGTTCACCACCTGCTTTCTCATGTCCTGGTCTCAGCAGCCCGTAACAATCATTTGTGAGCAAACACAAACAGGGAGCGAGCAGGTGGCATTGCACTGCATGGTTTGGATGTTCGAGTTCAAGCTTGGTCTCACAAGCCACAGGGTTTCTGATAAAGGCCACCTAGAATGGTATAAACAAAACTTCTGTTCTGTGTTTAGGGACATTTCTTAAATGAGGCACTTCATAGATCAAAAGAATTTTTGGAAACAGAAAGTAGTGAACACAAATAATCACAGGCTAAAAATCTTGGGTTTCTCTCATGTGGAAATCATATTTAATTCCCCAATGACATTTTTCTATCTTTTACCTAAATTTACACTAAAAGCAAATCTTTTGGTACAAAAGAGAAAAAATTGACTTAACAGGACCCTGTGTATAGGAAATATTTTCACACATGAGTATGTTTAAGCATAGGAGGTGTCACACTAGATGAAATCATGGCCCTTGAAGTGAGGAGCAAACCACTAAAGAGAAGAGGGGAAGCTGAAATGGCTGAAATCAGTTACAGCTTACAAACTACCCTGAAATGTGACCAAACATGAAGTTACCCATCAGAAGGTCATGAAATAATATTTCCTTTTAAAAATCGTTGGGAAAAACACTTCTGCTCAGATGAAGGGACATTTTCTTACAATACCAACAGCTCAGTTCTGTACAGATTTTGATGAGGTTTGATTTATGGTGCAATTAATAGCTTGATCCAGTTGTAAATCAGAGTGTAAAAATGTCTCTCTTTCAAGTGGCTTTTTTGCTTTAATGTTTGTAGACTTTAACAATATCACTGACCACATAAAAATGAAGAATATATTTGTCATGTTGATGTATATGGTGTCCTCTTGTCCTGCCTTGCTCTGGTTCAAGTCATATAAACCAAAGTAGCTGAAGAACCGAAAACCGGGGTTTATAGATTTTGCTTACAACCTGTTAATAGGCTATTGTTGTGAAAACCGGGTTACTGAGGATACAGTGATGTACACTGAATATACACGATGAAAATAAAAAGCCGATGTTTGAAATTATTCAATTGCAATCAAATAGCATAAGCTAGCTAGAATTTCCCATAGAATAAGCAAAGAAAAGCCAAGTTCCAAAAGCTCTTTCAGTTAGTAAGCATCTACAAAGCACTTCCAAATATAAAATATTTTGTAAACGCTCAGTGTTATCATTTTAAGTATATTAAAATTATATAACTATATATAATTGATGTAAGTATTAATAGTGGCCAAAATTTAAGTCTCTCAAAATCAATAAGGTTTGTAAAACTAGGGAAATGATATTGCAACGGCATGCATGTCGAATTGTTTACTTTTCTTTATCCACAGATCATGAAGGAAGTTCGGAGAGCATTGTGCAATGCATCAGCTGATGACAGTAAACTCTTACTTCTCAGCGCAGTGGGAAGTGTATTCTGTAGTGGCCTAGATTACTCATATTTAATTGGCAGGTTATCCAATGACAGAAGAAAGGAAAGCACTAGGATTGCAGAAGCTATAAGGTGACCCAAGCTTACCTATGATCTCTAAATTATGAAATGCAGTGTGTGATTATAAAGATATTTATCAGGTCCAAAAATGTTGTATATTTAAGTGTTGATTGCATTCTAATTACAGTCCTACAAATTTGTTTAGTAACAAGAACCTTGGACCTTTCCTTATTAGAAAAGAAAGCACGTTTATTCCGGTGCTTATATCCATAGGGATTTATTTCATTCCACCTCTCTGTATTTAATATTTCAAATCATTCCTCCAAATTAAAATACTATTTTGTTGTTATTTTTCCAAATTAGCTATTGCTTCGTGTTCTAAAGCGGTTCCTAAAAGGCAGATATTTTACTTGTTTTAATGTTCATCATTTTAATGAATTTCAGTACAAATGGGAATCCATGGTTTACTCATATTCTGTTGAAATAGCAGTCTGCCACTGAATTTCAGAACCTTATTAGAAGGGTCTCCACTCTTTTCTTAAATTACTGAATATATATGTAAATGTAGTTTTATTTTCATAACGAAATTGTGACTTTCCTTATATATATCACATTACCTTAATAGAAATCCAGGGTTTATGACATGCAGTCTACAAATCAATCTGCACAATACATCACCAAATATTTCCATTACCACAAGGTATACTTCATACATATTTGGCAGATCTTCCCATCTAAACTGACATTACTCCACTAAAGCCTCTGATATTTCACCAGTCTGTACCAGGAGAGGGTTTGGTCCCTTTTTTAACTCCACTTCCTACAAATAAATACTATTCTTCTGAGAGCTTTAAAACTTTATGCAGCAATTCTATGAGGGAATATTAAAGAATTTGTTTTACAACAGATCTATATTTTGGATCTAGTAGTATAACACAAGATGAGGTTTAGTTGTTAGGTGCTGTATTAACCACCCAGTTATCTTGGTTACAACTATTGCAGATCAGTTTGGATTCTCAGTTGAATACTTTTGAAATTCTCAAAGTAGTAATTATTTTGAAAGAATTAAAAATGTACTTCTTAAATATAATAAATTATGACCTGTTTTTAAGACCCTAGCTATGCCTGAATATCACATGATATTTAAAAAAAGAAAAACCCTTTTAAGGACACATCCTAATTTATTAGTTTTTTTTAATGTGAGGGATTTTTAATAATGTGGAGCTAAAAAAAACACGAGGGAAGAAAATCACTATTCTTGTTTTAAAACACAGGCACACTCACTCCATTAGAAGGTACAAATTTAATATTATTCATGTAAATATTGTGTAGATAGGTATTGTTATATATGTGTACATTTATCTTCATACATTTAATATACAGGTATACTTGTCAATCCAGCATTTAAATGAGTATAAGCCAGGCTGTGATACTCAGTTTTTCCATCCTTGGACTCACAGAACACTGGAAATCCTGGTACAATATACTGCTCCCTGTCAAGAATGTCAGCTTCAGGCCCACTGGAAATAGATTTTTATTGTACTTCTGGAAACAATACACTACGTTTTCCATTTAGCACTCTTTGTGCTTTCCTTGAACAAAGGACTCAACTCATGGAAAATATACTGTAACAAGAGTATAAAAAAATGTACACTTTGCTTTTTCAGTGGTTAGGATGTCCTAAAGCACATTAACGGATCTCTGCCTCCACTGCTTTACATCAGGTTAGATGAACTATGAAAATGAATCAAAATCTCGATTACCATGTGTTTCCACTTTCTAAAGTATGGATCTTGTATACTGATCACAAGTTAAAACTGAAGTTTAAATACCCATCAAATCTTATCTCACATGAAGGATTTATTCATTTGGCCCCTGTGCCCATCCATTGCCTTCAGGGCTTGCAGCTCACAGATGCGTGGCACTGTAGCTTCTCTCCAGGTACCGACCATAGATCCATCAGCCTGAGCTGCCATCATCCAGACGTGTGTCTGGCATTGCACTCCTGGAGCAGGGAAAAGGTAGACAGACAGACTGCACTGCAGCTGTGCTTATGGGGCCTACAGAGCCCCGCAACAGAAAGACTCGCTGGAAGGCATTCCCAGCATCAGTCTCATGTCATCAGTCTGGCATCGTTATGTGACCTGATATATAAAATTCTGGGTGTGCTCAGAAGACAAAGAAGGACAAGTTTACTTGCTCAGCTTCTTTATAGCCTTTGACATATTTATGAGCCCTGATCTGCAACAAAAACTCTTCAACCATGCAGAATATCTGAGCATCCCAAAGTGTGTTCGATGGTCAACTTCCCAGATACCTGCTAGCAAAACCAAAAGCCTTCTGCCTGTAACATTTTTTCCTGTCTTTGAGTTTCTGGCTCTACTGTGCAGTAACAGTTACAATTTTAAGTCCTTTTCAAAGACTGCCTTGAATAGAAACAAGGATCTTCTAACCCAGAAACTACCTGTGTGAACTTGTGGTTCAGAGACATAGAAACATGCCGGGTTCTGGGTGCAAAGACAACTCACTGAAATAAATAACGTACCAAACAGGGAACCCAGATGAGTGGAGTGCTGGACACTGCAGCTTCTCTAGACAAAATGCAGGCATTTGTTCCCCTTGTAAGCTCCCAATAGTGTAGCCCTCCACTCCATCCTATAGATGGCATGTTCCATACCAGCCTGTTGTACCGTCATTTGTGCTCCCCATCCTTCCCTCATGACAGAGGCTCATTGTGTCTTCTCAATATTCTGTTCCACTCTCTCGCCATCTCCAGGTCCTCCCTTCCTTGCTCACTCATACGAAGATTTCACGTTTCCTTCAACCCTTCCCCTCCATTCATGTGTTGTGCTTTGTTCTTCCTTCCCATCATCTAACCATTTCCTCTCCACATCCCTAACTGCTTTTCCATATTCACTTCCAATCCCATTTATCACCACATGCTTCCTGCTTTTCTCCACAACACTGTTTTCTTCTGCCTCCACATGGTCCTCAAATCTGCTGCCACCATTTATCCATAGTTTGTTCTTTTTACCTGTCGTTTGTCACATTGCTGTTCCCATCTGTAGTCCTACTTGGAAGGCTTACTTGCTTAACTAATAAGGTTCTCAAAATTCTGGAACTAATCAGGTGCAGTGATCCACAGTCGCTACTCAACCATAAATAAACGAAGAAATAACAAGATAAGGGAACAGCAAACGAAAATGAACCACAAGTCTCCCTTGGCTTTGCTATCATCTAGAAAGAAATGGTCTTGAACAGACAAATACGGTGTTCCTTACTTCACTCTCTTTGTCTTGCTGATGATCTTCTGTATTATTACTCACTGTGTGAACAGAGCTGCATCAATTCCCACGAGTCTTTTAATTTCCTATAATCAAAAATCAACTCCTTCCTAGATAGCCTGAAAAACAGAACTCATTTGTTGAATGTTTAATGCTGGATCACCTCAGACTCTTCATTTTTGTTTAAAATATAGCCAATGCCCTTATGCTTCAGTCCAATAAGACACTTATCTTCGGTATGTTTTCCACTTTTTGCCAAATTGGCACTCTAATCTGCAAGGCACACCTCCTATTCTCAGATACAGATGCCTAGGTCTCTTTGACCTCAGTGGGAGAGTTGCTGCTCATCAGAGGGCATATATGACAAAATTCTCTTTCCTAAAATCTGTCATCAAGGATGTACTCTAGATCTGATAAATACCCAGTGCAGGAACAGAATCTCCTCTTTTGTTTTGAATTTGATTTATACATGTCTCTTTTCTAAAGTAATTGAGCATCTCGTTTGCCTCCATATACCTGCGGTGCACTGCACTGCTGGAGCCCCTAATTTGCCCACAATTACACTCATGCTTTTTCCTAATTGGTGTATAGGCTGTTCCGTTCAACAGATGTCTTTCCACAGTTGCTGGTAGGTAACTTATTTTAAATACCTCTTCATTGTACAGAATTTAACATGTTCTAGTTCATTCATCCAGATGAATCTGATCGCATTTACTTCCCCATTATTTCCCATCGCTTCACATTTACTGTTGTAGGCAGGCAAGGGCATCTACTTTGTTGTGTCTTTATCAAAGACATTTGCAATGAAGACCCAACAGATCACTCGCCTAATTCTTTCTCTATTCGAACATTTCTCTCTCTCTCTCTGACTCTCCCTTGTGGGTCTTGTTCTTTCCGCTGGTGTGCCATAAACATTTACTATCTCCCAATCTGTTGATGGGACTTGCAGTAACCTTTGACATAGGATCTTAAGAGAACCTTTTGAAAAAAATAAATCTTCAGCAATCCACCTGTGAGTTTCCTGTCTTCCACACTATAATATTTTCATCAAGTTAGCCAAACCAGATCGTCAGAATCCATACTAGCCATTGTGGAGCAAACTGAGAAGCGCTGTGTGTACAAACTCATGAGTTACTGGTCCAGAAGTAAAACTAATCCTAACCAAACCATTCTGCAAAAAGGACAACAGTCAGTGCATTCAAATTAATCCTTCATATACAACATATACAAAATTATTTAATATCCCAGGTACGCAGAAAGATTAAATAACTAAATATGAGCAAAATTTTCCATGTGCAAACTAGAAAGTATCTTGCAATTCTGACCTCATAAACTGGGCCAGGGCATTTATTGTGTTCATCTGTGGTTCTAATTTGTTTTCAGATTAAGTACTTTAAGCTTGGGTATTTATCTAAGTGTTACTTCTGTATTCGAGATCTTTCTTTTATTTTTTATTTTAGGGATTTTGTAAAAGCTTTTATTCAATTTAAGAAGCCAATTGTGGTTGCTATCAACGGCCCTGCTCTTGGGTTAGGAGCTTCTATTTTACCACTATGTGATATCGTTTGGGCAAGTGAGAAGGCATGGTTTCAGACACCATATGCAACAATCCGACTCACTCCAGCTGGCTGCTCATCATACACATTCCCACAAATTCTGGGTGTTGCACTGGTAAGGTTTTCCTCTTCATATTGCTGAAGAACCTTTCTTAAATTCATGCTCTTCTTTCTCTCTTTAAAAAGTAAAACAGAAAACAACTGCTTCTCTTTATTGCCATGAATGCAGATGAAATCTGTGGAAAGCTCATCTAATTCCACTAATTTCTTATCACAGTGACCTCAGAATTCAATATATTAGCCGTGCTGAACACAAAAAAGATTGAGCATAGGTTGAAAAAGCAAAGATTGTCAAGATCATGGTAGAAAAGGGGAGAAGCACATTAGCAGAATAATGTTGCAGAGTACTTGTCTGTATTGTGTTAGCATTGTGCAGTAACAGAGCAAGATACTGCTCTCTGCTCTCTGAAGGCCATCTATACTCATTCCAGTAAGGTTGCGTAGCTTTTACCAGTATAACAAAGCAGAATTTGCTCCACAAAGTATTTCATCCTAGGTTGTGTGACTCTTGGCACAGCATCACTGTATCGCTGACAGTTACTCTTGTAAGATCAGCAATACAGATTCATCGTGAATGCCAGCACATTTCTCTTAAATTAAACCCATGCTGTGCTCTGGCCACCTGCACAATCCTTAAATAGCTACCGAAACTCCTTTTGAAGTATATTGCAGTATGGAGAGATACAGGAGACCATTTGTAAATTTAATCTTGAAAATAGCAGGCAAGTATGGAAATTTTTTTAAGGGAATTATAACCCAAAATCACAAGTAATCTTTTGGTTTCACAGGCAAATGAAATGTTGTTCTGTGGAAGAAAGCTGACAGCACAGGAAGCCTGCAGCAGAGGACTGGTGTCACAAGTATTTTGGCCAACAACATTTAGCCAAGAAGTGATGCTACGAGTGAAGGAAATGGCATCCTGCAGTGCAGTGGTAAGGAATCAAACTCCTTTGTGATTAAATTACATTTCACAGAGGCAAGGTGTGCTCCCAAGGCTCATCACATCAGAAAGGTGGGTCCTCAGTTTCCACAACCATACCTGTGGAAGAGGGCTAACAACAGAAAATATAAACAGGGATCAGTGAGCTCATGGAGTTTCCCATTTTTCAGGGGCATGGAGGGTTGTTTACTTTCCCCATCTTCACATTTATTCAGTATGAGTGGAACCTCCTTGCCTCAGATTTTGAAAGGGGATTTTAGCACCGGTTTCCTTCACGAAGGTGGAAGAGTCTGAAACTATACAACTGTACCAGGAAATCTCTGTAGGGCCAGTAAGAAAATATATTTGCCTTTCACGTTGTCCTGGTCTACTACGTTTCAGCTGAGTCTGCCTTCTTTTCTGCACCTGCATAGTTCCTGATTCTGCAAAATGTTCTACACAGTGCACCAGAAGGGTAGGATAGTGCCAGCTAACCTCTGCTGTGAAGGAGAGCTGAGATCCACACACAGAGGGGTTTGAACACAGCCTGGTCACGGTGTGTTATAACTTTCCTTTTGTGTACATAAAAGTGGAAGGAAAATCCGTTCCTATTTTTACTTCCTAAGATTTTTTCCCTTCAGGCAGATAGACTCAGATACACTAGTCTGAGCACATCCTTGTTTAAAAAAAATGCAGTGAAGAAAGTGATAGTGGCTGCAATAACACTGCACGACCTGAAGCGCAAATTGTTGCAGTTTGTTGCCATACTTCCTATGCCTGAAACTGTCTTAGCGTCCCTCAGTTTCATTTAAAAGATCCATTGTAAAAGAGAAGGTAGAGACACGGGAGATTTTTAATTAAATGAAGTGTAGATTAGATCTCACAAAAGACATTCAGAATGAAACTCACTGGAAATGTAGCATAAGCTTATTTGATCATGCTGATATAATGTGTATTATATGAGTTTGGAAAACCTCTGGGCCTTACTGTGAATTCTTCCTTCCTGTGCTGTTACTGACTGCCAGTGAAATTTCCTCTGGAGACCTGTTGGGAAGACTGGTGCTAACTTGTGGACAAAGATGAGAGTTAAAACTGTCAAAGACTAGATTTACTCTCTGAAATCCTAAATGCAAATCAGGCTGAAGTCACAAAAACAATTAAAAAGATGAGCTCATCCAAGCTCACTGTGGCTACTTGTTCACAAACAGACCAAAAAAAATACACAGGCCCCGCGATTTGCAATTAGCACCATTTACTCAGTTGAAGAGAAGTGTTATTTTGGAATAGCACTGTTGTAACCTAAACCAGATAGGAACTGGGCTTAACATGTAGGTGTTGACAAAGCTGAGTGTAGTGTATGCGGCTCCCTTATCATAAACACTATTAGTTTACATTAAATCTTCTGCCCCAAAAAATCAATAAATCAATTATTAGTCATTTTCTTTGACTAGTTGGGTTTCTTGTGAGATACATAGTGGTGTTACATATTGCAAAAAGAATTTTAAAGGAAGCAATCTCATTGTGTCTAAAAATGGTTCTGGGAAAAACAAGCTGAACTGTGGGAGCAACCATGGACCTGCTGTTCATGCCTTCAAGAACTTAGAGCGATTACTAAGGGCTTGCGATAGGACTTTCCATTGTAAAAATCTTGGGTGATTTTTTATGACTGCTTGTATATACTCCAGAACACAGTCACAGGGTGCTTGTTTTTCTTAACACCCGTCTTTTATAAAATATTTCACTTTTATAAAACTTTAAGTAAATAAACTTCCGAAGATATTTTGGTATTTGCAGGAAAGGCCCTTTCATATTCATTTCTGTTTTGATAAGGAAATGATGCATAAGGGAAAATTGTTAAAGATGATGGACATCCACGTTTGGGTTTCCAACTTCTATAACCTTAAAGACTACCTTCCAGAACACAGGTAGCCAGCATATCATGCCTCACACATTTTCATTTCAAGGGATCGCATTTTCAACAGGAGAGAGTTCAGCTCCTTCTGGTGCTTCATGGCAGACCTTCAATAAGCTAAGGCAGTTCAGAATCCCTCATTCCTTTTAAAAATGTTGGCACTAAGACATAAACGTCGGAAGTCCTTAATTCTTAAAGATGCTGACTATCGGCAAATGGAGTTATGGCTGTAAATTAAATCTGATTTCTGTGCCAAAAGGAGTTATTTAGATTGTAAAACAGAGTCAGTAGTATAAAAATGCTGTTCACGCCATTATCCATAATAATTTTGTCAGATCCGAAATAAAATACTGAGCAATATTGTGGCTTTAGGTACTGGAAGAGTCCAAATGTCTGATGCGGAGCTTCCTGAAATCCGCTACTTGCAAGACAAAATCTATGAAGTCTGATGGCTTGGCCTAAGTCAAAGAGAAAATGTTCCACTCACGAACAGAGTCAAACATTACCTGTGTTTGAAAAGCAGAGGCAATGCATCGTGGAGGAATTTGTGACAGTGTATCCTAATACATATGGTTGTGTCGATTTCCTTGTGAGCTACACAGCTGCTTGTAGCTGGTTTGATTTTGTGTAACCGAGACATAGGCAGGCTTGTTCAGTGCACATAATCTCTACAGAGGGCTGCATCTTTCACATGCTCGTGCAGATAAAAGTATACATTCCATGTGCTGAGAAGCACCACTGAGGCCCAGTAAGGCACACCATCTGTAATGATTTATTTTGTCTGTCCTTCTTAACTTATTCTTGCTGTTGCAACACATCTGAGCTGACATAGGGGGCTGAATCTAAAAACTGGGTCAGCACAATATTTTGTAGACCCAAACACCATACTTTTTAGAAATATTTTAATTATTTTTTTCTAAGTTCTAACAGTGTAATGGAAAAATCTGATAATTTATATGTATAATATGTAAAGTTTTTAGTTTTACAAAAACTACTAGGATTTTTTTCTTTGTTGAATTTATTTAACTTATTTATTTTGTGTTCATATTCAGCTGTTTATTGACCACAGATCTTATTTTCATACGTCCCTTTACTGAATTAATGGCATCACATGAGAATGCAAACACATTTTTAACAGCAAATTGTGTAGAAAAATAAAGAATATATAGAAAACACACCAAATGCTGTGGGCAGTAAAAGAAACAGCCACGTGCATGCTCCTCTATGTGCAAAGTTGTACAAAAAATGTATGAAATAGATTCATTTGCCAGGGTTCAGGGGAAAAAAGCGGATTCTGAAACAGTGAGTCCCCCCCTAAGTCTCTCTTCACTTTCTGCCTTCTTGAGGAGCATTGAAGGGCTTGCCAACAAGATGCTTCATTTAAGTTTACTATAGTCCTGTTAGCCGGATGTCAGTAACAGGGTGAGCGGTGCCGTTATGTGGCATCGTACTGTTTTTCAGGTTTAAACATCCCCTTTTGGTCTGAAGTCTAAAAGCAAATCCTTATGAGCCTTAGTCTAGTTGCCTGATTCCTCAGGTGTGAGATAATTTCTGCTCTGGAGGCCTTTGGGTGTGGGCCAGCAGTTCATACAAGGTGCTAGGTATTGAACTAAGTGGAGGGAGAGGTTTTGTTTTGCTTTTCCCAGCTCTCCACATCTGGCCACCCCACCATCTGTTACAAGAACTTCTGGCTATCCGTAAAAGCAGTCTACAATAAACGACAAAAGTCCAATCTGCTATTTTAGAATGTGATCCTAGTATTTTTCAGTGACACTGACTGACTTCTGAACACTGGATCGCTCTCATTTCTTTCTTGCTAGTAAGGCAATTAATATGGAAATAACACAAGCATGCTCTGTGACTTCACCTGCCATTTTAGTATGCCCAAATTAAAACCTCTTGAAGCAGAAGCTTTGCACATTTGTTTGCTTTGTAATTTGTGCACTTGCTCTCCATCCTTGAGCTCAGTGACTTCGTTATGGTTTAAACCTCTGCAAATGAGGCTGCTGGGTTTTCTCCCTCCCAGTATTTCCATGAAGAGTTTCAACAAAGCCTTTGTAAACTTAACAAACAAGTGATTATAGTAAACAGTAGGCTTCAACACATTAATACAACATTTCTTTTTCCACAAATAATTAAAAGTGCTGTTTCTACGGCCTAATTGTACCACTTAATTTTAAGGAAATCATTACCTCAAAGGCAGAAGTTCTCATGGAAATTCTTGATTAAAAAGACAAAATCTGGCTTCTAGTTAGCCCGTTTTAAATGTTTTCAAATAAACTTACCAAGACAACTAACTTACTTTTAAATGTCTGAAACAGAACTATTTCAATAACTATTTGAAGTGATGGATGCACCACTTGTTTTAAACTAAAACTTGCTTATTTCCACAACCTGCCAGCGATGGCACAGAGCGCATGCAGAAAATCTTGGCTGGATTAAGGCCATAGGACCCCCTACCATGCCAGTGCATGCATGTGCGTCACCTGTACGGCAGTCCCATTAAAATGAGAGGGATTACTCAAGTGAGAACCACTCACATGCATATGTGTTTGCACAATCAGGCCTCCAGCGTATGACTTCAGAAGAAAAAAAAGGAAAAAAAAAAAAAAAAGCAATGGAAAGTACCATGATTCCTGAATTTCCTTTATTTCCTTTATTCCCGTCCAGAGAGCCATAACTCCTAGTCACGTGTTAATAAGACAGTAGGAAGTTTATTTCAATACTATGCTTGGTTTTTGTAGATAAATATAGAAAAATTGCTCAGCAATGTGAAGGTATGCTTTCCATATGAGATTTTCAGAGAAGACTCGTAAATTGTTAGACCTTTAAACTGCATCATTTCATCTGAATTTTCAGATATCTGTATCTTAGCATTTTTTATGACAAAGGAATGGTTGAAATACATTTTCTATAATTATTTTTCCATTAAAGCAAGTGCTAACCATAGTTAACATTTTTAATTATTCATATCTATACAATTACAATCTAGTTTTCATGGAATCTATTTTCCCTTCAAAAAAAAAGTAATAACAGTGTCTAAAGTTTCTTTTCCAGTATTTAAAGATCAGAATCAATTTTCTCTTGTGTTTCTGTCCTTACTAGGTATTCAGATATCTAGATGTACTGTACATATTAGTCTGGGTACCTTTACTAATATTCACAGTATTTAAGATTATAAATGCAATTTGTTGTTAAGTATGTTATTTTATTCTTGTGTAAATTGTTTTGTACAATCTTTAAAAATCTACAGTTTTGCATTTGTAGATATTAAAGGTAAGCAATTTATTTTGTGTTGTCCTGCATGTATATTTTTGCTGTAGATAAGTGTTGCTTAGTTTACTATTTCAGTACATTTCTGTTTAAATGAATAAGCTTACAAACTTTAATACAGTATATATTTTCAGAATATAAACTTTTATATTTCTGTGGTAGGTTAGGGTATGCGTTTTAGGCAATCTTTTTCACTACTATTAACTGTTCTTTTAATCTATAATATAATGGTTTTGTGCCAATAGTTTTTCCTTAGAATAAAATGCTCTTTTAATGTTAGGGATAAACAACAATTTTGGCTGGGGTTTGTTTTATTTTGGTTTTTTTATTATTATTATTTTGCCAGCCTTTACAGTTTTAAATGTAATTTATAAATGTATTGCATTTGTGAATAAGCCTTACCATTAGGTATAAGAAATCTTTAAAGCTACATAATTGCTTATGTAGTACTAAGGACTTCCCCAAATAATTGCTGTAAGAAAGTTAGCAAATCGAGTACAGGGCCTTAAGTTTTTCTTGTGAAAAGGATAATACGGGTTGTTTGTTTTGAACAACATAGGTAGACTTGTCAGCATGGGCTTTGTTATATATAAACTGTGCATTTGTGCTCCCAACCACGGTAGTTTAATCTCAGGCTTTGTGTGGCTGGGTCTATAAAAGTCAAATCTGGCTAAAGCCAGCGCTCTTTAGGAGACACTAAAGAAGTTTACATAAGAGACTTATAGACAATCTTAATCATAGTACATTTGGGTACTCCGTATCCTAGATGTGTTATCTGTGTCTGCCCAATTAACCATATGTTTTAAGCCATATTAAATCTCTTTACTGCTACTTTAAATACTACATTGAAAGTCATTCACTAGCTTGCTTACTCACAGACGGGATTTCAGTTTTTAGTGAATAAAAATATTATGCCTTCCATAAATCAAAGGACCAAAGAATTGCATTATTCTAACAAAGCATTAGTTCCTTCACCAGTGAACTAGTTTGACATTTGTACTGAAGATCAGATAGTCTCTTTCTGCTACAAACACTGCATTCTCATCCACGCCAAGCGTAAGGGGAAAAGACTTATCCACTGACCTATTGGGAAAGGAGTGACGTTCAGCTAGGATGGCATGTCTATTGGTAAGGCTTATTACCAAACCTCTGAGATGAAGCAAAGAACCAAAAATTCGCAAATTATGTCAATGTAAATTTATTTTCAGAACTTGCACAAATAATGAATTGTAGAACTCTGCAAATTAGGCCCTTAAGTTATTTTGTCAGAACACCATGGAACAGACTAAAACAGTTTCTACTATTTGTAATGATGAGTACATATTATAATATTATAAGGGTACAGGCACCCCTATATCACAGTGTTGTAAATATTTTCTGAAACTGGTACAGTACTGAGAGACTTGTATCTTCTGATATATCAAATATTGACTGTCTAGATCAAATTGTACACAATTTATTTGTTGATGGTCCTGTAACTAGTGTATGGACACATTTCTGGGTGCCTTAGAGGTTGTATTTTTCATGTGTGTTAATATGCAGTATTTATACATTGTGAGAAGCTGCTTTGAATAAAAACATTGAAACTTCATTTCAGTGCAGTGATTTCCAGTTTTACATAATCAGAGTGAATATGATAAGTAGTAGCCACAGACCGTTGTATTATTTCTATGATAAAGCTATTCATGGACTCCTGTCTTTCAAAAGAAATCAGGCATACAGCAGGCTTTTTAAAAGAGAAATTAAAGTTAAAACCTTTTTTTTCAAATGGCAAAAACTAGGGCACTAAAAGGCACTGCAGTAAGAAGTCTCTGGAATCATTCATCATGATCCATCTCATTTGTCATTTCATGATCAAATCCAATAAAACCACTGAGAACTGTCTTATAAATACACTTCTAGGACACCTTCTCCACCATTATCTCTTTCACTGTTTGATAGGTGCACGTCACCTAAAGGGTATCTGCCCAGAACCGACTACTGCACACAGTGTTTCAGCTCCACATGAGGGAATTTGATTCTGAAGTGGTATTTGCCAGGGAGGCCAAGATTCAGCCCAGAAATCCCTTGGTGTGGTGTGGAGCTGGATCACCCTCTGGTCCTCCTACATGACTGTAGACTGCAGTTCTTCCATGGGGTCTCTTGTATACAAGGTGATCGCTTGGCTGTAGCATCCATGAATGCGATTT